TCACATTGAGTTAATGTAGTGTGTGTGTTCACATGTGTGCAGGTGCACTCGCCTGTGTTTGTGCATGTCGAAGCCAGAGGTCCACATCAGGTATCTTCCTTGATTGCTGTCCATCTTATTTTTTGAGACGGGTTCTCTAACCCATTCACCTAGACTGCTTGGCCCGCAAACCCCACGGATCCCCCTGTCTCTGCCTCCGTGGCATTGTGATCACAGGTACCGACTACCCATATTTACATGGATGCTGGGGACTCAAGCTCAGGTCATCATGCTTCTGTAGCAAGCACTTTACCAACTGAGCCATCTCCCTAGCCCTAGGTTGGATATTATCTTTGATTATCTATAAGTCTCAATGAGAAAATGGGTGTTGATGGCTAAAATTTCCCTTACAGAGAGTTGCATATATTCAAGAGCAGAGGCCCTTCCTTCCTCTTTAATTTCTCTATTTTATTTTTGAGGTCTCTTGCCAACACAGTCTAAACAACTGTCCTGCTCACTTGTGGATTGTCTCCAGGCTCTTAGCTCCCAGAGACCACAGGTGCTCCGAGCACCCAACATGTACCTGGGATGCAGTATAAATAGGTGCTCAATGAATGTTTGTTGCCTGAATAATTAAGTACATGGTGTGGCTATGGCTATAATGTCATGAATAACAAAATTTGTACCCCACCCCCAAACAGACAAATTAGATGACCAATAAAATTTCACTGAATGGGTAACAAAGTATCTCCATTTATATGATTCAGAAGAACTCAAACTTGTACACCCCACTGCAACACAGTGTGGGAGTTGGGTGAGATAATAGCTCTTCACACTGGCATGGGTTAGGTGATGTCCATTATCTACAGATTTCTGCTGAGTCATGGGGAAAGTAATTCCTTGCAATTATACACAGCATGCTTGTGAGGTTCCTATCACCTGGGAGATTGGCCTCTGGACTTACCTGTGGGGGATTGTCTTACGTTAATTGATGTGGGAGGAACAGTCTTACTTGTGGATGGCACCATTTCATGGGTTGGGTCCTGAGTTGATTAAAAACAAGAGAGAGGGATAGGGCTGGAGAGACGGCTCTGCTGTTAAGAGCACTGGCTGTTCTTGAGGAAGACCTGGGTTCAGTTCCCAGCACCCACATGGTGGCTAACAACTGTAACTCCAGTTCCAGGGGAACCAGTGCCCTCTTCTGACCTCCATGAATATTGCACGATGTGGGTGCACTTACATACATGCAGGCAACGCATTTATATACATAAAATAAAAATAATAAATTTTTTTTTTTTAAAGAGAGGGGGAGAGGAGCACACACACTCCTGCTTCACTCAGCCTGCGTCACCAGAGCTCTAGGCGCTCCCTGCCTTGGCTTTCGCTCAGTGAAGAATGGCGCCTTGAACTGTGAGCTCAAACAAACCCCTGCCGTCTTAGGTTGCTTCTGTCACAGATGTTATCACGGCAACAGGACCAGACGCAAAGATAACGCTCAGGCTTTGAGCGGCACTTTCCTGCCACTGTCACTTCCTTCTGCACATCTCCCCTGGGAGGACCGGAAGACAGCGCTTTCCTGGGCACTGAGCTGCTACTGTTCCCCAGGGACAGTGTCACCCCGAGTGACGCCAGAGTTCAGAAAAAGACTCAGTGCTGCTCACCGTCGCTCTTTCCTTTCTCTCTTGATAGAGTCAAAATCGCTGTCAAACTTGCCGGGCCCCAGGTGACGAAATGGCAGCTGACACTTTATCCAGTCTCCCTTGGGCCTCCCGGTCCTTCTGGAGCGATGCCTGGGGCCTGGGGCTCTAGGCCAGCCCTCGGCAAGTGCATCCCTCAGCTCTGCCCTGAGGAGCCAGGCCGCTGTCGCCGGCATCAGGGTCATGTTGGATCTCCAAGCTGAGCTGACACCTGTGCACTCCTGGCAATATTCCCTTGTTGATTCCAAGGCTCAGACTCTCATGGGATCCTGAGCCCAAGAGTTGGGTAATTGACACTGGAGATTGTAACTTCTGAGGATGCAGGTTCCGTGCCAGGCTTCTCCTTCTATTAACAGCAGGGAAATCAAGGCATCTCTGAAGTCTGTCTCCTCTGGGATCCTCTGGTTCAGGATGGGCCCCAGGTCACTGGAGTCAGCTCAGCCTCCTTCCTGTGATGTCTATGCATAAGGGACACCCAAGGGCTTGTTACAAATACAGACCCTACACCTCAGCCCTGCAGATCATGATCAACTTAAGCCTAGGGATGGAGGTGCATGGATATCTGTACCCCAACCCCATGAGGTTTTCTGTGCGGTTGTCACTGGTCCAAACTTGAGGCAGCACTGCACGGTAGGATAGAGCCGGTACTGAGACTGTAGTTTCCAAGATGGCTTTTTGTTTTTTCTTCAAAGACCAGTGTCAGATGAATTCCCACTGGGTATGATTACACCCATCGTGGGGTGCACAGGAACAATTATTATCAGAACTAAATTTAACTAGAAGGGGAGGGCTGTGTATGACAAATGAGCTCCAGGTGCATTGCCATTTTCTTGTATGTAAATCAGAGCTATGCGTTCAGGGAGAGGGGCGGAGCTGAGGGAGCACTGCAGAAGCTGGGAGGCCTGTCAGGGGAGCGCTACAAAATCCGGGGAGGCCTCCTGGAATCACAGAACGCTTGAACAGCACCGAGGCTGGTCTCCAACCCTTTAGCTTCTACCAAGACTTGTCTGGGGGGGAGAACGGGCATCTGGGATTTGCAGGCTGCAGGTAAATGTTTTGCACTGCAGCCTCAGAGCCACTAGGGGGGAAAGCCCCACAGTCACAACAGGGCTCCCTGCAAGCCTGGGGCACCAGAGACTCCACAGGATATGACCTTCGAGCATGATGGGACCTGGAAGTGGCGGGGGAGGCGGGGTGCTAGAAGAGAAGCCTGACTGTGTCAGAGCTGTTGGGATTTTTTAAATGCTGAGGTGGGTTTTAAATGAACAATTTCTTCACCCAACTCTTGTGATCTCTTGACAGTTGCAACTTCAAGTATCTTTTTTAAAAAAATTATGCGTATGAGTGTATTGCCTGTATATATGTAAGTGCACTTGTGTCACACAATGCCCACAGAGGTCAGAAGAGGGCGTTGGATCCCCTAGAACTGGAATTAGGGAGGCAGTTGTTAGCCACCATGTGGGTGCTGGGAATCAAACCTGGCTCCTCTGCAAGAGCAGCCAGTGCTCTTAACCCCTGAGCCATCTCTCCAGCCCCTTCTCGCATATCTTAATAAAGTAAATAATGGCGTTTAAGCTGAAGGAGATGACATGAACAGCAAGTTAACCATCTTCCCATATCTAGCAGGGAAGCTGTGGGGCCCTATGGCTGCTAAGATAACACACCAAGCCTTGTGTGGCCAGGCGATATGCAAAGTCTAATGTCCATCTATAGGATGTTCAGTTATCTAAACAAGTGAATATGAAACCTTCCACAAAGAAAACAAGCTTCCCAGCCTTGCTCTCTTTGAGGGTCTCCACTGATAAGAATTTGCATTTAAATAGTCTAAGACTAGATGCCCAGCATGGAAGAAGCCAGGCCCTGGCTTTCACTGTACACAGGCCCAACCCCTCTGGAAGCATCCTCTTGAGATGACAGCAGCCACGAGGTGGCTCTGTTGGCACCTCCCCAAATCACCTCAGCATCTCTGACCTGGGGACCCTGTGCTCATAATCTCATAATGTTCTAGATGATTTTCATGCACCCTGGGTTTGCGATCTGCTGCCTTGAGTGTTGATCTCCCTGCTTAGGTTGGGGCTTCCAGGACTATAGTTTCTAAAGTCACCTTGAGGCCTGTCCACTTCTCCACAAGAGTTCACTTAAAAATATTTGATTATTTTTATTTTATGCGTATGAGTGTTTTGCCTGCATGTGTGTAAGTGCACCACATGTGTGCAATGCTCGCAGAGGCCAGAAGAGGGTGTCGGATCCCCTGGAACTGGAGTTATGGAGGGTTGTTAGCTGTTGTGTGGGTGCTGGGAATTGAACCTGGGTCCTCTGGAAGAACAGTAAGTATTCTTAATCTCTGAGTCATCTCTCTAGCCCCCAAGGGTTCATTTTAAACATCAAAAGCAGGCCCACAGACCCTGTGTGCACTTACTAGGTGCTGGGCTGTAGTTGGTCCTTCACAATACTCCCCTCACATGATAAAAGCACGGGACAGAGGCTTCTTCTTGCATTCAATCCAGTTAGACACTTTATTAAAAAGCACAGCACCTTGTTCTGCACACAGTGCCTCGTTCTACACATGGCAGTAATTTACCACCTTTAGGCTGTACAATTGACTACTTAGGAACCAAGGAATTTCTTGATCATTTAAAATAGTGGGCAAAGCTCCTCACAGCATGATGTTGAGCTGCAGCAACTGGTATTCCTAATCCATCTTGGATTACCCTTCCTGCATCCTGATAAGTGAAGCCACATGCTGGTTACAGTCAGCACCGGTCTGGTCGATTGTCAGAACTTTACCATTTGGTGTGCATTGTCCTTCTCCAAGCACCAGGGAGCCTCTAAATTAGTCTAAACCAGCAAAGGCTGAAGACAGAGAGGAGACTGTGGCCGGGCTCCCATGACCACATTTACCGTCACCGCTACAGGAGTGCTGACTCGTGGCCTGTCCCCTCCCACCTTCCTCTACAAATCTGCCTTCCTTCCTGAGACTATGAATTGTATTGGGGGAGCCTGGCAAAACGAACAAAATTTGAGGGCCTCTACTGATAGAGTATGCATTTAAGTAGACTAAGACTAGATGCCCAGCAGAGCCAGCGGATTCCCCCACCCCACCCCCACTCAGGCCAATGTTTCCAGAGCATTACTTCCGCACAGACATATCTAGGTTTCCCACCCTCTGGAGCACTCAGATTTGGTGTCAGGAGCTCATTAAAGATTGGATCTGAGGGTTCTGAATACAATTCCCCCAACATTCCCATGGCTTATGAGTGTTCACTGCCTGTGTTCCAGTAGATTGCTGAAATAACTGAGATTTTTTTTTTTTCTCATTTTTAGGGGACTCTAACATCACAAAAGGCAAAAATGATTTCATCTATTGTCATTTCCCAGCTGATTGATGAAAGGAAATCAAAGGAAAATGGGGCCATGTTGCCTTTGTCACGAGCTCAGCCTACACCGAGTCCCCTGAAGCCAGCTTCAGCCAGGCGCAGCGGAGTCAACATCCCTGGGTCACTTGCCTTATCTCCGGACAGATTGGGAATTCTGACTCTATCAGATGAGCAAGGGCTGGAGACAGAACCATTGTCCACACGGGACAACCTATATGGAGGCCCTTACAAAGGGTTCTCATCCATCACCATCACTGCCCGTCGGGTGGGCCCTCCAGCCAGCACCTTGGTGTGGGACACTGTTAGGGACCCACTGTGTCCCAAGTGCAGGACCAGGGATACTCTGCGCCAGGGCCCCCCAGCCTTGGCTGGTGTTGCTCATCCATGTCAGGACAGTGGACATTTTGCCTGTTCAGAATTCCCCGGCAATAGCTCGAGGGTGACACTGACGTTTCCCCAGGCCCACAGAAGACTGGGTGCAGGACAGGAGTACTGGGTCACACACATGGATGACAAAGAGGACAGTTTTTCTCCACATACGCCACCATCAGGAAAGAGCTCACTGGTATTCAGTTCCTGTGTTCACTTCCAAGTGTCTCAGCAATGTCCCAATGCCATCTATTACCTGGACAGATCTCTTTCTGTTCCCCTTGAACAACCTCAAATTGCCAGCCCCAAGATGCACAGATCCGTCCTGTCCCTCAACCTCCGTTGTAGTTCCCATAGGTTAACAGCAGATGGAGTAGACAGCATAGCTAAAGAGCCAATAAACAGAGCCCTGAAGCCGGAGCTCTTGAAGGGAAAGCAGGACCTCCGAAGCCCACACTGGAACCCAGTGTCACGGGAAAGTCCCTGGGAGGAAAGCCCAGCGTTGGAGCCAGTGCATTTGGGGAGTGGCACGTGTCCTTGGACTGACTCTCCCTCTTTGGAAAATGTCAAACTTGTAGATGTGGGAAGTAACCAGGTCACAGCGAGAAAGGAGAAAGAGGACCATGCAGCATGTCCCACCAGCTGTCCCACCAACCAACTGTCCATTCATATTCCTGGCTGGAGTTACAGGGCAGGTGAGTCCATACCCACCTACCTGCTGGAGGGCACTTGGTGTGAGTGCCCAGCAAGGGGGTGTGGGAGGGAATATATTCTCCACAACCTCTTCCAGTGTTTGGGGTTGAGTGCTTTGCTCCTCTCTGCCTGAAGTAGTCAGTAGCTCCTCTAGTGCTGATGTCTGATTGGACAGATCTCAGATGAGACGTTTGTGGATAATGAGAGACCTTCCTTCAAGTTCCTGTTCCCGACAACAGTGCCAGGCCACATGCAGCCCACAGAAAGCTGTAGCTCCAGAGCAGCTAATTGAGACCATGCCCACGTGACATCCCAAAGCAGGGAAGCAGAGTAAAATGCCACCCACATCCAGAGTTTGTATTTTTACCTCCGAGGGTCAAACACCTACATATTTGGGGATTCTCCAGAATTTGGTAATTTTCATTTTTCAATCACATAAAGTGTAAGTTAGCATCATAAATTATTTTTTTAAAAACTAGATCTGAAAGATGGATCTTTGTGAGATCAAGACCAGCCTGGGATGGTCTACACAGTGAGTTCCAGGCTAGCTGGGTCTACAGTGAGACCCTGTCTCAAAAAACAAAAACCAAAGCCAGGTTGAGAGCTGGCTCATCAGTTAAGAGCACTGGCTGCTCTTGCAGAGAACCCAGGTTCGATTCCCAGCACCCATGTGGTGGCCAACAACCATCTATATCTCCAGTTCCAGGGGATCCGATGCCCTCTTCTGGCCTTTGTGGGCACTTATATACATTCAGGCAAACACACACAGAAATAAATTTTCAAAAAGCAAAACAGAAACTAGACCTGAGTTCCATGAAGAAGAGAGACTGTGTGGTCTGTGTGCTTGATAACGCTGGCACGCTTCTGATGAGGAAGTTTGGAGCTTTCCTTACCAAACAGCAGCGAAAGGAATCGTGTGTCCTTGGGTTGTGTCTTTGGGGGCGACCTGGCTGGGGTTGTTGCTGCCTCTGCTGTTTCCCAGGCCAGACAGAATTCCCCAGGTGGGCTTCCCAGAGAGCTTATGGCTTTCAGAAAAGGAAGTAAGTCTGTTTGGGAGGAAAGCAGTCTAGATTTATTTTCTTTCTCTGTGTAAACTTCTGATTTTTCAGTTGTATTTTCTGTGAGAGAGACTGGTTTGGCTTAGTGACTTTCCACTTGGGAAAAAATATTTAAGAATAATAGTAAAATTGAAAATGCAGCATATGCATAGTAATTTTTATGGTGCAGTTTCTGTCCATTAAAGCTTTATTAATTAATAAAATGACTATAATGCGTGTGGAAATGTTAAATGATGTAATTAATTTTAACAAGTGTAGATATATTGGATGCTCAGAGATCTTTAAAGCAATTTTGATATGGTTTTCAGATTGATTAAACTGTTGAAAAGCCTGAACCCACAGACTCACTGCATGCGGAAAGATGCACACAGCACCCCACCCCACCAAGATGCACACAGCACCCTCACCCCACCGAGATGCACACAGCACCCCCACCCCACCAAGATGCACACAGCACCCCCCCCCCACC